GACTGAGTGGAAGGATTGGGTATCTGGAACGCGACTGAAGAAATTTGTGGCGAGAGAAGAGGTAAGAGAGATGACCTAACCGCCCCTAGAATATAAGTAACAGGGTGTGTAGGTTAGGAAGGATGCATGCTGCATAAGTGTGGTCTGGTCTGAGCTTGCTCTGATTATTACCTGCTTGCTTACCCCAACGTGTGTCTGCTGTCTCCTTCGCCTGTTGTGCAGGTCTGACTTTACGAAGACAGCCATGCCAAGAGGAGGGAAGGGGACACGGCCGCCTTCGCCTGTTGTGTAGGTTAGGTTAAAGATGCATTTAGATATTTCTCGGTGGAGGGCGTCGCTTCAGGGTGAGGGGCATGGAGAGCAGGCAAAGGAGGTGCCACGAGAGGAGGTACCACAGGAAGAGGTCCAGGGTACTCAGCGAGAGAGAGGGATGGGCGATGAGGGGAGACGTGCAGGGAAGGAAGTGATAGAGGTTGGAGAGGACACGCCCCCACAGACGCCAGCAGTGGGTTTGAGACTCGGGGATGCACCAGGGAGCACCCGGCAGACAAATGAGGGGTTGCAAAGAGAAGAGACCCCTTTACCTTCGTCAGAAAAAGCTCCTTCGCCAGAAGGGGGGGCAGAAAGGAGGAGAGAGAGGGCAGTTGTAAGGAGAAAAACTTTGATCCTGATTAATAGGCACCTAGCAGCTCATGCCCTGGAGCACCCAGACTTGGAGGAGCCAGCACCTGCAGAGCCATGCCAGGAGTCATGCCAGCCCGAGAAGGAGATGGAAGCAGAAATCCCAAAGAGGGTCGACCTCCGCACGAGGGAAAGGGTGCCAGCTGGAGAGACGGCCGACGAAAAGAGGGCAAGACGAACCAGGCGGATAGATGAGATATGGCAGGAGAGGCAGAGGTTGGAGGCAGCGGGGGAGCTCCCGGAGCAGCAGCAGGAGAGGCAGAGATCGGAGGCAGCAGGAACACTCCCGGGTCAGCCGCCCAGCGCGCCAGCCAAGGCTCCGGAAATTCCTGAAATGTGGAGAGACTTCTGGGAGCAGAGAGGAGAGGACCTTCCATCGCCAGTCAGAGCCGGGTTTGGGGTGGCCAGGAAGGCGGAAGAAAGGTTAGATCGTAAAATCAAGTTCTTGGCCAAGACCACTTTTGACCGGCACTTGTTATTGGAGGGCGATGTGGCGGGGAAGAAAATGAAGGAAGCCAGCCATGGAGTACGTCTGGAGGCTATGGAGGTGGAAATTCAGGAACTTAGGGCTTTGGTGGCCAGCCAGGCAGCTATCATTGAGAGCCTGAGGCAACAAACCCAGGGAAAGGTGGACAGACCAGAGAGCAGCTGGCAGGGAGAGCAGAGGCAGCCAGGACAGGGATTGCCAGGACAGCCATCTGCGACAGAGCCTCGCCAGGAGCCGCCTATGGGGAGAGTTATCCTGGAGACAGAGGAGGCGAGAGCCCAGAGACAGGCAGAGAGAGAGGCGTTCGAGTTTAGAGCCCCTACTGAGCTCGCGACGCTGCCGGTGGCGGCGGCAGGCCCAGTCGTACCTTTGGCAGTAGAGGAGGGGCTGCTACCATCTAGCAGTGAGCCGGCTCAGGGCTCGACAGAGGGGTCCATGGGCGTGCTCCTTGAGGCGGTGCATACTACGCAGGAGGAGGTGAGTTTGTTTTCACCTGAGCAGAGGATAGAGGAGCCTCTTGAGAGAGAGATGGGGATTGAGGTGGAGGGTGCCATCGAGGGCAGACTCCAGAGGATAGGCACACCTGAGTATGGACCAGAGGAGATTGAGGAGCAGCCCACGGCAGTGCCAGGGGCGGCACTCGAGAGGAGGCCTCAGAGGTTTCCAGCGACAGAGGATTTGAGAGGCAGACTAGGATCTTGGGCTACTTGATCTGGGTCTGGTGGACCAGTTCCGGGGACAGAGCGGCAGGAAGTCGTTGGTACCGCAACTCCTCAAGCAGAGCAGCATGGGGTTATCAGTACCTTGGCAGGATCTCCTTCATCACCACCTCCTCAGCCCAGGAAGAAGAAGTTCAAGAGGAAGGTTGATCAACTATGTTTCTACTGCAAGAGGAGCTCGCATCATGCTTTGGACTGTCTCGAATTTCTTGAGGATAAGGCAGCAGGGAAGATCTCAGAGGTAGGGGGTAAAACGTATGATAGACAGGGTAGGATAGTAGAGAAGTCCGCAGATAGACTTAGGGCTCAGTTATACAGGCAAAACCAGGAGGAGTTGAGGAGGTAGGGCCGACTTTGTCTATATAAGCGAGCGAGCATTTTGCGAGGCATCAACTTAGGTTCTGTGTGATACTCTCTTAGACTTAGAAGACATTTTGATGATTACTTTTAATCTAGATCTAAACTCTAGTGTTTCTACTGAGTTGGGGTTTTGAGGGTCAGGGTAGTTTAGATGAGGCATGTACATATTTAGGTGGCCTACGCCCTGGCCTTTGAGAAACAGATCTGACATGTATTCTAAGGGTAGTTGTCAGTGTGGGTTTGGTGTGGCTTGAGTTGAGCAAGCTATGATTTGGAGACACTTTCTGTATGAGACATTGTATTCCCTGAGTGTATATTATGATGAGGTTTCCTTCAAGGAACTTTCTTATATGTGACGATCACTTGTCTTTCTCACATGTGTGGTTGTACTCTGATGTATGATGAGTTTGTGTGGACAATATGTGAAAACTTTTTATGTATTTTGGGTATGTGAATACGATTGTAAGTAAAACTGTCTACTCCTCGGTATACTTGTGCGACCTGCCCACGGCAGCTGATAAGGCAAAGTATAAGGGGAGGAAGCGCAGTCCGTCTGTGAAAGTTATCTAAGTTGTGATGAGGACCCATAAGATGGTCTCTCAGTGATGTTCTGTTTTATGATGGGACCCCCTTAGATTTTGAAAAAGGGAGGGGATGTTTCGTGATGTTTTGTGATATAACGAAACCCCTCGTGACTTTGAGAGAGGGGGTGTTTGATTTATGATGAGACCCTCGTGATTTCTGGAAGAGGGAATGTATTGTTTTATGGCGAGACCCCTCGCGATTTTTGAAAGAGGGGGTGTTTTGTTTATGGAGAGAGTCCCTTTTGGATTGTTGAAAAAGGGGAGTGGTTTTTGGTTGGAAGACTCATCCTCAGAAGTGAGTAAATTGATTTATGGCATGACGAGTTGTTCGATGGGTGATAAAGTCTGACGGAAAGGGGCCACTTTTTGTTTGAAATGTTTGAGAAAGTTGCAATGAGTACAGGGCGAGAGATGTCTCAGGGTGGGTGGCTGCTGACTCTGATCAAGTCAGGAGTCACGGCCTGGTGGATTTAGCGGTGATTTTGCTTGTAAGCGTGCAAAGGAGACCATGCCTATTGAAGGAGGGCTGGTAAATGCCTTCGGACCCATGTGATTTTGTTGTAACGCACCCGTTTAACCACTGGTGCTAATTCTGAGACATATTGAAGAAAGGCCAAGCTAACGGAAAAGAAGTTAGTACCTCTAGGGCGTAACCCCATTGGATGGCTGCTAACCAGCGCAACCTGGTTGCGGGACCACAGGGTAAGAGTTTAAGAGGAGTTACCCGCCCCAGGGAAATTACTCTGTGGGATAGTGAAGGTTGAGATTTTGGGAGGTCCTGATTGAGTGCCTATCAGGAGAAACCCTATCGTTGCGTAACCAACGAGGGTACTGCCGTTAAATAACAATGCGGTAGGCCGTAGTCCTTGTCCGATCAACCAGGCTATGGTGGGCCAAGATGGAGACCTGACCTTTCTGTACTAGACTGCAGAAAGAGCGGAGTGGATATTAAGTTTACATTTATACTTATATGTATTTGATTGCGAGAGATTTTGAGAAGGAAGGCGAGAGTGCCTTCAAAGGTCTCGGTTAAGGCCCGCATCCCTAGTTTTTACCAGGACTAGGGACACCCAACGAGAAGCCGAAGGTTGTCTAGGACCGGGGAGAGGATGATTGGGAAGGTCTTTGAAACTTATGCTGCCAGTGTCCTTATTTATGGACGGTGTGAAGCCCAGGTTAGAAACCTGGCAGCATATAGTTGTGGAGGCATGGTTTGATGGAGGCCTCTACCCTGTGTTTGTCGGCTAATCGGATTGGCTCACCTCTTTCGTCAGCATTTGGAGTGTGAATGGATTTATAGCTTTCAGATTTGGTGAAGCGACGGGGACGTCGCTTAATATGGTCCGGTAAGGCTGTCGGTGCGAATACCCTTACAAGGGTATCCGCCCTGTTTTTTGCAAGTAACAGAAAATTGTTTGGCTTAAAGTTTAAGTATACCGCGCTAAGCGCGGCTGCGTTTGTAATTGCGTTGACTAGGTGGTTGACCACAATAGCGAGTGTGTGAGCACGCAGGTTTAAGGCGCCTGTGATTCTTTTCTGTTGTTGATCGTAAGAGTCGGCTCGGACCTCGGTCGTTTTGCTTAGGCGATATTAAATATTATTTCATTTTTTATTAAACCAGGATTTATGAATATTTTTTTTTTTTCGGTCTAATACGACCGACGGTTCAGTGAGCATATACGGACATGCGGTGGATCCAGATGATGGGACCTGATGGATAGAGCCAAACATGGACAGTCGCGGCACGGACTTTCGATGGCCGCGCGCGTCGGCATAGGTTGAGGAGTGGCACAGACCGCTTTCGCGACCCGGGACAACCGCGCCGTACCACTTTATTTAGGATTCTGTTACTGCCGGTACCAGGCTTGGGCTTAGCCCTATAGGTTATGACATTGGGCTGACGCTATGGAGGTTCGGGGATCGAGCTCGGTAGGGCATCGGCGCAGCAACTACAGCGAAGCATCGCGGAAGGAACCGGTGGGGTGGAGGGCCGCCAGGGCTATCCCCTTCGGTTTTGTTTACAGGGGCGGCGGCAGGCCTGATCCGCGGGACTGGCGTGGCGCCAGCAGCCCCGCTGTCCCCCAAATCTATTTTTTTTATTTTTATTCTACTTCTCTTTTCCTGTTTTATTTATCAAGCCCCGTTCAAGGACGCGAGACCGCGATGGAATCATGTGGGGGTGTGTTGTATTCGCGGGATTGCCTGTTGTGCAATTACAAATTGTTTTCGTGGTTGCACTGCGGCCGCGCCCTATTTTGCATTAGGACGTGGTGTCGTGGGCGGAACATGGGGCAATGATTGTTTTAAGGGCCTGCGGGGGCCGTAGCCCGTGGGATCCGTGGTCGTGGCTTCCCTCGCTTCCCACTGGGAGAACGTCGATACGCCCCGAGCGGGCCGCCGGACGGCGACAGGGAAAATTTGCTACTACCACCAAGGTCCGTACTGGACCCAGTCCGCAAAGGCCCATGCTCGGGCCTTACGGCAGGCCGAGCCTTTAGTACCGTGGCCAGCTGTTTGAAGGGGAGTCTGGCCAGTGGAAGCCCGAAGGGGTGGTGGGCTTCGAACAACACCGAGGGGGTTGTGGTGACGGTCTGCCGAGCAGTGTCCAGCTGCGTATAGGGGTGAAAGACTAATCTAACCGCCTGGTACCTGGTCCTCTCCGAAGTTTCCCTCCGAATGGCTGGAGCCAGTAAGGGTGAGGCCAGAGGGAACTCTGTCTGAGGCTCGCAGTGATACTGAAGTGCAAATCGTTCATCGGGCCTGGGTATAGGGGCGAAGACTCCGCGACCCGTCTAGCAACCGATCCCCTCCGAAGATTCGCCAGGCCGACCGACTGTTGAACCACGCGGTGTGTTGAGTATAGGCAAGGCGGGCAGCGCTGCTCTACAGGTGACGGGGGCCAACACGGAAGAAAGAGGGCTGAGAGATATGCTGGGAGCAGTGAGACAGAGGGCGGACGGGCGAACTGCGCAGAGCAAAGAGAGGCCAGCAAAAGCTGGCCGAACGTGGACGTAGGTCCGGCCTGATGCATTCGCAGCAAGAAGGGTGATGGCGGGGAGACAGGCAGGCCACAGCCCGACAGGGGGGACGAGTGTTAAGGCAGCAGAGAGAGAGAGGGAACGGGGCGGAGCGCTGCCGTAAAGAGGAGCGCAGTACAGAGCGTGACGAGCGCAGCGGGAGGTAGTGGGCGCTGCAGAAAGCGAAGGAGGATACCGGAGTGGAGTGCAGAGGGTGAGGCAGCGGGTATCGAGCAGCGACGGAGAGGGATTGGGGCGAGTAAATCGAATGGATCTGGGCGCATTTCCGCACCGGATTCATTCCAGAAGAGAAACCAATGGAGCAAACGGAGTGAGGGGGATGAACCGGGCCGGGGTTTAGCGCCAGATACATGCGGAAGAGGCGAAGAAAAAGGGAGACCGACAAAACGAGGCTGACGAGCGGGGAAACGGGCGCAGATAGGGATAACAGGAARACAGGGAAGTGAAAGTGGATGCAGGCRCAAATTTGCGCCAGGTGCAYTCAACGAGAGAGATGAYSATGGTGKKGGCCAGGCGCAGCGGASAAGAGTAAAGCCCGCCCGATCCTGGACGAAAACGGGCGGGAGGAGTTTTGAAATAGGGGTTTGGGGGCCGGGCGAACGTGATTACGAGTTCAGTCCGGGTGTTAGAGGTGTAGGATGAGAAGTTAGTAGAAAAGTGGTGGCGCGGGGCTATGGCGGGAACGAGGAAGAAGGAAATGGAGAAAGGTTAGTCTGCCAACCTTCTGACGGAGTAGAATGGGAGTAGTAGTTAGGTGGGGGTTTTCGGTGTTTGCGAGTTAGACTATGAAGTTAGTTTTAGAAGTAAGTTAGTAAATTTAGAGATAGGGAAGAAAGTTCGTGCGCGGAGATGGCGATGGGAGGGAAGAAGCGAGGGGTGAAACTGTGAATCTCGGTCGTTTCGTGATGAAAACAGGCGAGGGAGGATTCAATTTTGGGGTTTTCGGGGTGTCGTGACCCCGATCGTGTAGTTAGTTTGGCCGAAGAGTTAGTAAATAGAAAGTTAGTGGGTAAGCAGAGGGAACTAGAAAACGAGTTGGCAATGTGCGAATGCACCTAGCCTCATTTTGG